AGATCACTTTGGGTACTTAGGGATCCTTGCACCTGCAACATTACTCAGAGATAAAAACAACCAGCATAATACCTAAGTAGGTTTTAGGTAACACACAGATAATTAGAACATCTAATTTTTAGTATGAGTGTAATAATTATGGTTTAACTGTACAGTAATATTCCAGTATTAGAAGTTAGTTTGTAATACACTACTATAATTATATGGCTAACCCATTATTAGAGAAGGGAAATCTAACTACATATTATGAGAACTGTATCATTTAGTTTTTAAAAATGCTTTAAACTATGAGTACATTGACTGATCACCAGAAAGTTCAGCAGCAACTGACCTTTGAAGCATTCATAGTTTCTTACTCTAATACCTGTGTAAAATTCACTCATTAGACTGGTTTCCTTTTGTACACAGTAATTTGGTTTCAGTAGTTTATACTTCAATTTCCTCCTTTATTTCTCTTTGGGAGTAATTGGCTTGATGATATAATTTCCATCTACATGTCTTTCTATGTGAATTTCTACCCTGAATTTATATTTTAGCTCCTAGAAGCACCAGCTTCTAAAAGTTCCTGGGAGATATTAATATGAATGAAATGCATAATTATACAGTGCCCATTTTATTTTAATAAGCTGACATGACTAGTTTTAATGCTATTACTTCAAATCCTGAAAACTTTTTCTAAATCTATCTGTTCAATAATGTACAATGAGGACTCATTGTAAGCATTCTAATGTCCTTGGAAAGTGTGATAAAACTTTTGATTAAATGTTTGTTTTATTATTATCAATATATGAAAACTTTTAATCCTCTTGTGGTATACTTGAAGGACAGTACCCTGTTGATATAAAGTCTATGAAGAAGTGGCTTTTTACCTATTCAACACATGATACAATAGACATTGTCCCACTCCAGACAGTTTCATGCAACCAATTAGTCAAGCATCCAATTACAAATTCTGAAGGCAGATAACTAAGATAATCTGCATCGCTAAATGTTCTTTCACAAAAGTGAATGTCCCAGTGGTAATTTGAGATGTTTTGTGTCTGGATCCATACATCAGGTTAATATGTTATTACATGATATTTTCCTATAAAAATTTATACCACACTTTCAGGGAAGCTTATCAAAATGCTTGAGATTGATTCAGTTCTCATGTGTTTAAGAAATACTTGATGACCACTACTTATTATGTTCGACATTCAATTAAAAATGTAAGAAATCCTCTAACTAGTCTAGTAAATTTCATTATGCATACTCTTTAAATTCTTTTTTTTGTGTATATTACTTGTCTAAATACTGCTTGTTATTCAAAACATAATGTGCTATTTTAATAACACTTGCATTATTTTTTTACAATTTTCACATTTAATTATATCAATACTAGCAAAGTATACAACTGAGACTTATTTAATTCAAAGTCTTAATTACTTCAGCATTTAAGGAATTTCACAGTAGTGTGAAATTTCTACCATTTTGATAATGCTTAAACATACCAGGCAATGCATACATACAAATATTTAGTAATTAAATCTTTTCAGAAAAACATTTTGTTTTAGATAAAAAAAAATTTCCCAAAAATGTACTTTACAAGTTTGAGCTTCATGCCCTGAGTATCAAAAACTAAGGCCAGTAAATCTAATTCATTTCCCCTTGGTTTTAGTCACTGTACCAAAGAGCTTGCTCAGCACTAAAGCATTTATGTTGGTATTTTGTCAATGGATGCCTCATAGATCCAAGCTACCATCTCTTAACAGGTTGCCAATCTTCCCTCAGACTTCATTTCCCATGAATTGCTCCTGGGTTAGTGTGCGTTGAAGCTTGTACCCACAGTTATTCTGAGACATCTACCTTTTTTTTTTTTCTGCAGACCACTGACATCTAAATAATAGGCATTCCATTATTCATGATGGATCTCAGGAAGACCACAGAGAACTCTTTTCACCTTTCTGTTAGGTTTTGTTTGTACCTACCTGTCTACAAATCAAGGAAGTACTTCTGTAACAGATAGAAGTAAATAATGATTGTCCATTTCCTTCAACTAGTTGGTGTTTTTATTGATGTTCAAAATCAATTTTACTGTAGCAAAATGGCTTTAGTTTTTCAAAATGGCTTTAGTTTTTCAAAATGGCTTTAAGCTTAGGAAATCCAAATGATTTCTATCAGTTTCTGCCATATGTGGAGATGTTCTGGTCATAAGTAGATGAACAACAAATAGGAGGTTATGGGGAGGGATTTGAAGAAGGTGTGTGTGTGTGTGTGTGTGTGTGTGTGTGTGTGTGTGTGTGTGTGTGAGAGAGAGAGAGAGAGAGAGAGAGAGAAAGCAAAGTATTGTCCTTCCACATGCTATCACACACAAACATATGTCATGTTCTGAAACCTTTTAGCAATAACACAAAACTCATCTTTCATCTGAAGGAAAATACATTTCTGAATCAAATATGAGCAACCATGCCTGGGACTATGGAATCAGAATTCCTCCAAAGGCTGCATTTGAATGTTGGAAATGTTTTTGTGAGATTTTGTAGATGGTGTTGTTAATGAATAAAAGAAATCTGAAACACTTTTCAAATACATCAGTGAAAGGCTCAGTCTGCTGGGTACAGCAGACAGGGGACATTTCTGTCATTTGCTAGAGATGCTGATGGCATTCTTAGTTTGGATACTGCTGGAAAACTAGGCAATTCCAAAATGATTTTCCTGATAGTCGTAATGATGTTAGGCCATACACAGAAATGGGTGGTGAGTAGCTATTGAAGGAGTGAAAGAAAACCCAAGGTCATTTAACTCTGGATCAGTATCATTCCTACTTTCTACCCTCATGGAATATTTAACAAGTCTATCAGGTTCACAGAAACTTTCACGCAGGTGTGACTTTGTTCAATTTGCTAAGTAAATGCTAATTGTCAATTCAGAGCAGATGAACTGAGGCATTGCCACTGGCTGATATCCCTGAGCTCCCAATCTTTACACATTTTGGACATTGAGCCTTTAAATAAAGAGTACTCTAGGTAGTTTGGACATGAGTATCTGGTGCATAAAATAAATGTGAATATAACAAACATTGTCTGATTAATCACTTAGTAAAGATCAAAGGAGAAATTCTCAAACCTTCAGAATACATAATATATTTAATGTTATATTATTAAACATCAAATACAACATAAATAAAGCCTTTGAAAATCTTACATATAAAATGATTATATGAGAAATAAGTTTGACTCTTCTCTTCATAAATATGTTGAATCATGTTGATTACTGGACAAAATTTGTTTTTCTTTTCACTTATATATGTACCAAGTTTTTTTTTTATTGAACATTGGAGTTATATATTGGCTTTTGGAACCCTATTTCTCATACTGGGTCACCTTGTGCAGCATTAATACAAGGGATATGCTCAGTCTTACTGCGACTTTGTATGCCATGTTTTATTGATACTCATGGGAGACCTGCCTTCTCCAGGACAGAGATGGGAGAAGAGGAGATTAGGGGATGGGAGGAGGTGGAGGATGAGAGTCGGAAGGGACTAGAAAGGAAGATGAGGGAAGGCTATGGCTGGGTTATAAAATAAATAAATGAATAAAAAAATATATAATATGTCTTAAGGTATTAAGTTATTTTAAGTATGTTCTTATCCGACTGTTATTCAAATGATTCTGTCATATCAACCATGAGTGATTTCAATAATGTTATTGTTATCCAACGAAACACTAAGATGGCACTGGCTATACAGATATGCTACTCAAGGTGTTATTGTGTATTGTATAAGGGCCATAAAAGACAATTTGAAAATTAAGATTTTAAATTTCTGATACTGTATGGAAAAGGTTAGTAATATATTTTGCTAAGATAATGAGACTCAATTTTTTTTCAAATTTTCTGGTCTGTTTTAATTCATAACAATACGGAGGTATAGCTAAAACACGGAATTTTTAAAGCCTTCCAGCTGCAGGGAGAATATGAGGATATTTAAGTATCTCTATAGAAGCTAAAGTTTCAAAGTCGTTTTCATTAATGAAGACAGAAAAAGGCCAATATTTAAAATTGTTGAAATCACTTCTAAATTATGAGTCTCCTCTTGAATGCCACCTTCAAGGTTCTAAGTTTGGTTCCTCTGTGGAGCGCTTGCACTTCAGAGACTCATCTCATGGAGTTTTCCCTGCAAAACAGCTCTGGGTCTTGCCTCAAGTAAATGGCGACTCTGTATCCTGATGAAAGAAAGACCGCGGGATGCCTTTTCCTGATACCTGAGATGAAAGAAACATAGCAACTGCATCAGCAGCAGAAGAGAAAACCTCAAAGAGACCAACCAGCTGGCGCCCACCACTTTGCCTGCTTGGGGTTTTGTAACTCTATGCTGCTGTCTGCTGATTATTATCTCCCGTCCCTTGATTTTCTCCCACAGACTGACTCCTTTAGTTTGAAGTCATTGCAGTGAACCAGTGAGGGTCAATCACCAAGTTAAATGGCAATCTTTGTTATGTGAATTTCTGACATTTTTAATGCACCTTTTGAAAATTTTCAAGTTCTCAAAATTTTGAGGGTGGACTCTGGAAGGATTGCAATATTAATGGTTTTCATTAAGGTTTTTATCTTCACAAACTTGGAACCCCTTATTGAAAAATATGTACACGCTAAATTATGCCAATTTATTTATTAGGACCTCATCATTAAAATTGATAATATATTAAAGATTTAAACATGCAAACTCATGATGACCTACTTTGGGGCATGATAAAGAGAACTAACATAAGAAAATGTTATTAAATTATTATACATGAGAGTAAATAATTGATAAGTTCAAATGAAGATTTTATAATGAGTCAACAAATAGATAAAGTAATGAAAAATATCCTAAAACTTAACTGGGCTTGTAATCCTTGGAATACATCCTGAGCATTTGGATTCCTGCTGGCTTTGTGTAAAGATTAGTTAAATCCTTATTCCTTTTTACTGTTCATTATGAGTTGTCTTTCTTTTGTAACTGATATGTTGCCTTCCTTTAGGCTTGAATCACCAACCAGGTCGTTGATAATGGAAGCTCCCCGTGGGGTCCAGGTGAGCGCAGCTGCAGGTGACTTCAAGGCTGCCTGCAGGAAGGAACTGCACTTGCAGTCCACAGAAGGGGAGGTGAGTGACCAGGCAGGGATGACCCTTGGCTGCTGAAGGTGCTGCTTTAATGTCTCAGGCATGAGACACAAGGAGCCCCTTCATGAGAAACTGCAAGTTTTGGAAATCTTGAATACTCATAAATAATGGATTTAGAAAGGTCCTTCTACTTTCTACTGAAGAAGTATTCATTCCGAGGACAATTGGAACTATGCCTCCAAATTCTTGTTGCTTCAACATTAGCTTTAAACTCTAAAATGAAAACCATCCTTTTTCCCTTTTCTATTTGAATTTTCAGAGTGGTTCTTCCATAGATTAGTTTGTGGTAAGTTAGAACCAGAGAGGAACAAGAATTTTGAATACATTTCTGTTGTCCGAATGGGTCACTACATATAACAATATGGTGTAGACATTTCAGAAGGCTTGAAGACAAAATTTGGAAGGTATTCACCATAAAAATATTCTCTGAGTGTCTAAATATAGTTAACCTGAGCCAAATATTACACAGCACATGCATATGTGGAAAATTACATAGCATCCACTAACCTACATTTTTATACTTTCATATATCTGATTAAAAATTAATTCAAAAGAAAGGATAAGTACTTTGATGTTGGTGTGTTTTTATTTCTGAGTTCTACAATAACTGCACTACAAAAAGAGAAACTGATCACTATTTAATATGTTATCCCCGACACTCAGACAGATTCTAAACTATTTCATATCATCTGGTCCTCTATTCAGACATTAAACATAATAGTTGAAATGAAGAGAAAGAATGGTACTGAAAATTCAAGGGTATAAGGTGGACAATCAATGTCCTTTTAGATTCAATGCTCCAAGGAACTTCAACTTTGACATGGAAAGAAACAAGTGATAACTGTAAACGAAGGGTTACAGGGATATAACTGCATCCACAGTACAATAACACAAAACAACCATACATGCTGGAATATTAGTGCGGGAGACTTTTTATTCCAAAAAAAAATGATTAACATTTTCAAGGAAGACAAATAGCACTGCTTTAGACAGGTATTAATGAATGAGATGATTCTTGTTCACGAGAAGATGGAGGCACTAAATTCAAAGCTCTGGGGTATGATTCTAGCCACAGGGTTCAGTTTTAGAACAGAAGGAAGATGGACTTTATGGGCAATACAGAGCAGACATATCAATTTCGGAAGCTGGAAAGTAAGCAGCATCAGAGTAACTGCTTTGGCAAAAGAGGAAGAGGTGGGCAAGTCCATGCTGCCACCTGGAGAGATCCAGAAGTGTGGTGCTGTCACGGATATCTCAGTCTTCCTGCCTGATGTTCCTGCCTGATGGGACAAAATGGCAGTTGCCCTGTGAATGGATTTATTAATGAAAATTTCCTATTTACATGAGTTAAAACATTCCCAAAGTATATAGTTAAAATATACATGGAGAGAAATTTTATAAATTTATATATATATAAACGTGTAAGTACGCTAAACCAATACCCCAGAATGAAAGAACAAAATGAGACATGTGCTTTGTTTAAATCATGGAAAATACAAATTAGGCGCAAGATCAGTTGCAGCAGATGACGTTGGAGAATAGGGTAGGTCACTTAAGGTATTGAACCTGGGGGAAAATCCAGTTTTTGTTTGGAATGAGAGGAGAACTATAAATTACCGTCGAGTCCAAGAGAAGCACTGTTCCATTCCCATTTCTTGAAGGTTCACCCTAACAGCATGATAACTCGACAGGGAGAATGCAAACTGGATGTGGATGGCAGCGAAGCCTACAACAGTCCTGTTAATCGATTACTCTGTCATCCTCCTTTCTGCTTTGGGAGTCTATGACTAAGATTAAGTTAGGGGCCAATGAGATAACCTAATGGGCAAAGGCACATTCTGTCAAGTCTAATGACATGAGTTCAATCCCCAGGATCAGAGGCGGAAGGCAACACCCAACTTTGGTTAGTGTCGTCTAACACGCACACACACACACACACACAAACACACACACACAGTTACAAAACAAAGAATCAGGGTAAGGAAGCTTTAAATAGGTGAAATACCTCCCCAAATTGAAAAATTAGTTGCTTAGTTGCTGAAGCCAGGTAACATTTAATAGAGAATTCAGGTATAATGATATGTGGAATTACCTGTTCTCAGGACTTCCTAGGCAACCTGATCTTTGGACTGTGAGACTTTTCTTGGTGTGTTAGAAAGGATTTTTACCGCTTTCTCTCCAGTATTTTAAAGACAGGTGAAGGAGTATGTTTTTAATTCATTTCCTCCCTCCTCATTAAAGTCAGCCCAAGTGGTGTCCTTCTTTCTCTATATAATTCTCAGACATGATGAAGAACCTAAAGGAAAAGCCTTTACTACAGCCGTTCAGTCTCTCTCGTCCCCCACCCGCTGTGTGTGTGTTTGTGTGTGTGTGTGTGTGTGTGTGTGTGTGTGTGTGTGTACGCGCGCTGTTGTTGTGGTGGTTTTGTTGACTCCATGAGCAATAGGCTCTGTTGCCAAACCATGCTGCAAGGCTCTGAGGGAGATACCATGCTGAAATGAATTGAGATAATTTTTTTCTTCCTTTTTCTTCCTAGATTTTTCTAAATGCAGATACAATCCGGCTGGGAAATCTACCTACCGGTTCCTTCTCCTCTTCACCCACCTCCCCAAATTCTCGACAGACAGTGTATGAACTGTGCGTCTGCCCCAATGGCAAACTCTACCTTTCTCCCGCTGGGGTAGGCTCCACCTGTCAGTCCAGCAGCAGCATTTGCTTGTGGAGCTGAAGCAACTGATTTCTCCTCCTCACACCAGAATAGCCTTTTGTTCCCGTCCGTCTGCTTCACGGTTTTGCTCGGTTTCCCCTGTGATCAGTGCGGAGCTTCTTCCGATGGACCACAGAGCAAACTGGTCCTGAATCAGCAGGGATTGGCGCCCACCTTCTCCTGACTCAACCGACTCAACACTGGGCAGTGGGAAAAACATCGTCAGCGGGAAACCTGGATCATGACATTTGCTCGAAAAGGAGAATAACTTAGGTGCCTTTGCTACGGGGAGTGAAGCACACAGTTTTAAGATTTTTGCAGAACCTGGCTACGAACTGTGCACGAACACATAACCCAGATGAAATTCCCTAATCCAACGGTGACGTGAAACGCTTACCCCACCCCCACCCGGGTCAGAAAACTAATTCTGCAGTCCAGAAGCACAATTTTCCATGCATCTTTTTTGGACGTAAACTTTTATCCCCGAATTTTAAAATTCTGAAGCATTATGTAATGCTTGCTTTACTAAAAAAAAAAAAAAATTAAATTCAATATATGGTTTTTAACTAAATGAAACAAGACAAGAATTCCCTGAGTTGTTTTTGTTTCTTTAAACTCAATGTGTTGGTACTCTTTGTCTACTAAGTCTGGAATTTTGTACATTAGATAATTTTGAAAGCTCTCAGCAATATAATCTTTACAAAATTAACAAAACGCCATTATACTGTCATTTGTCAAATCTGGATGGCCTTATATTTATGTGGCTATTGCATGTGACACACTTGCTTTTAACAAAACATCTGGACAATTGCAATATAAGATAGGAGGGATAAACTCACAGTGTGGGACCCATCAGAAATCTCTAAAAATTTACACGGTGTCTTTGACCCTTAGGTTTTAATGATACTCTTTTGTTTTCTCCAGTTACATTAAACTTGAGTTTTAACTACTAAAGTTAAATCAGCCTCTAATTAAATACTGATGTTACACATAATGCTGAGAACAGGTTCACTTTCCACCGAGGCACCATCTTCACATTAAGCGTCCTTCTTTTAATTTCAGGTTCATAAATAAGGAAGTTAGTGATTAAGTTATAAATTCCAGAAAAGAAAATGGTAGAAAGTCAAACCTTCAGAAGAGTGTTGGATAAGTGCTTTCTCTGTTGAGGAAACTAGTCATGCTTCTTTTTGGTTGTTTGCATTTGGTCCCTCTTCTTAGACTGTTAGTTACTGTGCCATCATGAACCCTAGCGCTTTCCATTCCCCACTGTGCGTTTTTGTTAATGAGTTCCTAATAAACAACCACAGAAGATTATAGACTCGTTCATCACAGTACTCTTAAACTCAAATCCTTGAAACCAACAGAATACAAAGGTATAAAGGGGCATTTTAGAGTTCCTAGTTTGCAATGGTGACTTGATGACGAAAAGGTAAGTCCTTAATTTTCCCGTCATTCCCTTCTTGTATCTGTGCACGTCCTTTGCAGGTGAGTGGAAGTTACCCTTCAGGACCATGTGACTGCAGAATCTTTGAAATTCTGTTCTCTATAGCTCAGAGTGAAGCAAATGATTGAAATATGTTAAAATAATTTTGGTAGCAAAAATGAGAAAATTGGATAATGTAACTGGCAACGTGACCTATTTGTCCAAAGTTATCTCATTCGGATTCCCAGCATTTCTAGTAGCAAACAAAGCTCGGTAACACTGAGCAAATTCCACACCCTTTGTAAGGTATTTCACTTTGATCATTTTTAAGGTAGTGTTGGACTTGTGCTTTGGGGTTATTATAAAGGTCTGTAAATTAATATCAAAATAAAAATTGAGATATATAATTGCTTGAAAAGTCATAGCAGAGAGCTTAATTCATTTTTAACAAAATTTCATATATGAAGTTTGCACACTAATCTTTGCAAAAGAGTCACAGTCTATAAGACAAGAAATTTGATAGTCATGGGTTCTGATCATTGTTATGTGAAAAAGACAGTAGGCATTAATTTGAGCCATGCCAGGAATTTAGCCATGCTACGTTAAAACAATTAGGGAATTTCATAATCAGAGGGTGTTAATGCTTGTAATTCATATTCCTCTCTTGTTTCTAAAGTCTTTTACTAATTCATTTAGTAGGCTGGAATGGGCAATCTGAGACTATCTCGAGGCTTCAGTTTACAACAACCACTTTACAAACAACAAAATTATTGAATCAAACATCCCCTGAAGGCTTCTTCTATCACTAACATGTTGTAAGGACATACATTTTGCATGGTAAGGGGTGCAGTAAGGATTTATCTGCATAGCACAAGATGTCAAAAGGGACCGATGGTGAGGGAAAAAAAAAGAGGTGAAGAACAGAAGAAAGGTTGGAAGTGGTGGCTCACACCTTTAGTTCCAGCACTTGGGAGGCAGAACAGAAGGATCTCTAAGTTTAAGGTCAACATGGTCTGCATAGGGAAGTCGAGAACAGTCAGGGCTATCTAGAGAGTCTCAAAAATAAAAAAGAAAATGAAAACAAACAACAGAAAAAAACAAACAAAGAAAGACAAAAGGCTGGCAAAAATTTCAACTCAAAGATATTCTGGGAAGTACAGACATAAAGTTGGGATATTTAGAATGTGCAAGCAGCATTCAAATACCTGTTAAATAAAGAATGCTGTAGATGCCTTCCTTCTACAGTACTAAATGAATGGCTTGAAATGATTGCTTGACTCTTGTAGATTCTTCAGGTACAAGAGTCTCAATGTATAAGCTTTTATTAGAGACTTAGAAGACAAACTCTAAAGTCTTTAAATCCCTAATAGAGAATCCTTGCTTATTTAATGATAGAAAGGTCCAGTAATTGAAGAACAAATTTATCCACTGATTTCCAAATGCAGTTTTACAGAATGAACACACACACACACACACACACACACACACACACACACAAACTCCTGGAGCTTATTTAAATGATGCAAAGTCTATCTTTTCTACATCACCTAAAAAAAAATTTTTACTTTTAGGTGTGCCACATAGACCATATAAAGCCATGATGTGACTCCTAGTTGAGATCCTGCAGGCAAGAAAAAAAAAAGAGATACTGGAGTAGGAAAATTGCTGGCATTTCAATTAGATCTAGAAGTGGATAAACTCAGGTGCATTTTAAAGTTCAGTTTCTCTGGGGCTCAAGGAGATATAAAAACATGCATTATTTCTTTGAGTTCATAATACTTCAGTAGTGAAATTTAAAAACAATTACAAAACTATCCAAACACACTAAAAACCAAACAAAATATACTTTCATGATGTCATGTCCCGTTTGATAAGTATCTCTAATATTCAGTCCTGTACTTATTCGTCTTGATTTTTATTGTGAATCATCATTCTTGCAATATGGAAGATAATCATTTCTCTAGGTTTACACACTGACAATGTCCAATTATGCTACAATTTTCAAATCTTAGTCTATAGTGCCCCAAATCTTTGAAAATATGGGTAGGAATTCTGAATTGGGTTCTGGTTACATGTAATGATTTAAATTTTCTTTAGAAAGACTCAATCATTTTAGGTGCAGTATAGTTCCCTGTGAAAAGGCTATATTAAGCTAGGTGTTCTCTGTGGCCATGTTCATCATTTAATTCTACTGATTCTGTTAAGACGTTTAATGATCTTTTCTGAGTTCATCCGATTCTGCCATGCTCAAATTTGTGATGATCAATTCCTTAAATAGATGTTCATCCATGTCTAAAAGCAAATCTTCCCAGCTTCCCATTATTTTTCTCCATATTCCTGGTTGTGCTCTTACCAGTTGAACAGAAGTTCCCTTTGGGGAAATCATGTTTGATCAATGTGTTCAGTGATATGGATAATATTAAGAAGAAGAATGTGGCTCTCATTTTAAATACTGCTTTAGGACTTTAAAAATAACACCTGCCAAATATATGTACCCTGCTTACTGTTCTGTTAGTATTGACCTTCATAAAACTAAAATTCATAGGTATTTGAAAAAATGTTTTTATCAATATAACCAAGTACTAAATTTTTGTACCTAAAAAATCCCTTCATGGTCTACCATTATAATCTCTCAATTCGATAGTGCTTCATTTTCCAAACACACCATTGGTACAGTAATATCTCTAATGAATTTCTTCATTGCAAACATAGTAGATCTTTGTAAGGTAGCATTAGTCAGGAGTATATATATATATATATATATATATATATATATATATATATATATATTGCTGTTAGCATTATAGTTTACAGCATAAAACGTTAATATCTCATTAAATTATATTTGAAGGTATTTAATGGCCCGATTTTCTATATACAACTGTCATCACCAAACTCATTTTTGAGTTTTGTACATCTGAGGTATGGTTACCTTATCTGCTTGTAGCTTTGGTCTAATTAGAATTGCTCATGTAACCCTTCTTAGACACTTATTAAATCATTTGCTGCATACATTAGCATACATTATGATACTGATTACTGCAGAATGTCATTATCAAAAAAGTAAAATAATATCACATTTATCTCCAATTATAAATTAATGAATGATCTCATTGGACACGTTTGTAGCTATTGCTTTAAACTGCAGCCTAGTAGTCACTGAAATGTCAAAGACCAAAGACCAGAATTTCTATTGTATCTAACTCTAGACCACTATTACTTCTACTCATTTCTTGAAAGAAAAAAAAAGGGGGGGTTATGGTTATGACAAAAGGGAGGAAACATGCTTCTTGCAGGAATCTGAGCTACAGTCATTAGTTACTGCTTTAGTTTTAGAAAGAACACTTCAGTAGTGTGCTCTGCCTATTTTTATACCTATGTAACGAATGCCTCAATGTTCTTAAAACCAGGATATAAAGACTACACCCCAAATGGCCTCAGGATGGATTAACTTAGTTGGGTTTAAAATTTCATTGCTTGCCAAAAAATATCTCTGGAAAATATAATTAATTTGAAGTACATACAACTAGAGGGCTATTTTTAAAGTGTTAGTTGATGTGGGTCAGACTTTGGGATAGTGATAACAAACATTGAAGAATGTGAGGTACAATGAACTGTGATTCTTTCTGGGTCTCCAGTCTTAATATTTCTTTTGTTTGAATATTTATAAATAAATGCCAAACAGGGTTATTGGTGTGCAAGGACATTTACAAACAATGGAGATACACAGTTTGGAGTTTGTTTCTTTATTTATACAATTCTTTAAATCAGGTCCATGATTCATTTATTTTGTTTTGTAACTTTCATGTAAATGTTTTCTTGTATATATAGATATATGATAAATGGAACTATTTTCTTACACATACTATGCAATATGTTTGTACAATTGCAAAATTACCAAAATTACAAAAGCTGTGCTTTTGTGCTCTATCCTGCTTTATGTAAAAAAAAAAATCAACATTTTTCTATTTAAAGGGACTCCTTCATATGAACTGTAGATAACATATCTATTCAAAAAATCAGTCTATTGTATCTTTTGTTTAATTTGGGCGGGGTCTATTCCTTTTGGGTGGAAACAATCGGAATTCTTTTCTCAGAACTGAGTTCTTACAAAGCATGCAGTGAGCCCATTTCATTTAAGATCTCTCTTGTAATTCTTCTACTTTGTCCTGATTTCGGTGCTACTGTGTAACCATGATTAAATGTGATAGTCAAACAAAGAGGACCTGAACTCAGGTGCTATCGTTTCATTTATCTTCCTGGAAAAAAAAAATGTTTGTGGGAATACTAGCCTTTTATGGAGACCTTTCTAATAACGTGTTGTCTGATAAATATTATGTCCATGAATATATGTGATGATAAAACTAAGTTTAATATGTACACCTAATAAAAATTCTTCACTCGATTTTTCCTCTCAAACACACACCCAGTGAAACTAAGAACCTAAAAATGATTTAACCATAGATTAATTTGCTTATCAAGAGATTAGCAAATAATTCATATGTTCTGAAATTCTCCTGATTTATCCCTATTTTAAGTTTTATTTCTTCTATCTTTTGTTATATTCAGTAAAGAACTGGTCCAGTTGAGAAAAATAAGCCTTTAATGTTGTTACTATGTATCCATATGGACAGTTCATTTCTACAATGTTGTGAGAATGATATTGTTCTTTATTGATTCCAAAAACAAATCAGTATCCATTAGAAGAGTCTTTTTGGAAAACAGTGGTTATTTCCTTTTTTCTTCTTTATTCTTCTAAACTGCTCCAGATATTTAAAGCAAAAATAGAATGTCTATACCCTGGCACGTCTCTCAAATGTTACTCCTAAGTAGAACACAAAGGAAGGCTTTCAGTTCCAGGATAATGTATACTCCTCGGCTACACTTAACCTTCAAAAAATGGTTCCAAATGTTTGTTTGCATCCTTTTATTTCAGATCCTCAGGCTATTTGCCAGCAAACCATTGTAATATAATGTCTGGTTTGGTTTACACGTTCATTATTAAAAAGAAGATTTGGGGGGAATGGAGAGAAAGACTGAGGAAGGGAGAGGAAGCGAGAGCAAAATGAGCAGTTATCTCTATATTCACACTATTGCTTATGAGACCAGATGTATGTATGATCTCTCTCTCTCTCTCTCTCTCTCTCTCTCTCTCTCTTTCCTTTAGCAAGCAATCATCTTGCACCAGCTGGTTTATCTTGTAATTCAATTCAGCTGTGGCACTGTTTCGAGCTCAGGCCACATTGGACAAGAGCTGAGTCCTGTAAGGACTTCCTCCTACAAGCAGAACTCAGGTTACCCAGCACTTCTGCCAGAACAGGGATACAGTTCAGAAGTTCCTTTCCCCTTCTTTAGGTTCAGTAATTTGCTAAAGTGGTTCAGGAAAGCATTCCACTTAAACTGTGGCTTATTTATTGCAAAGGATATTGTAAGGTTGCAAAATCACCACCTCAACAGAGAGGCACGGAGGGCAACTTCTGAAGCAATCCAGAGCATAGAGTTGTAGTTGGCCGGCTTCCCTATTTATTTCCACTACTAAGTGACAAATGGCTAAACCTCAGACTTCGGGAGTTTAAAGAAGTTGCATCCAGGAGGCATGTGGGGTTCCCTCTTCCTAGGGATTGTTGGCTGCTAGTCCAAGAGACAGGAAGAGGGAGAAGAACGTGGGAAGAGGATTCAGAAGGCTTGCTGGTATGATGGAAACAGGTTTCATAAGACTGCCTCAG